TCGTCGATTAACCATCGGAAAAGTGTCTCACAAGTCGGTTTTTCGACGCAGGCAATTCGTCGGTCATGTGTTGCTTATGCGTCAATTTTTATAACCGACGGATTAACTGCGGAAAAGTGTCACGACCATCGTTTTGGTATGAAGCACATAAGCCGTTGGTTATATGTGGATTTGGCGTCGGTAAATAAGTTCATCGGCTAACCGTCATTTTGTCTTTGAATATGTTAAAAGTTTCCGCATCGCAAATTAAAAATAGATTCTCCTTTTCGTATTTACATTATCACAACTGTTATCGCAAAATTTAATATAGTTTTCCAAGCATTTAATGAAATAGGATAGTTGTCAAATATTAAATTATCCAATCAAATAATGAAATAAATAAAATGCATTTACTTTAAAATATATATATCACAGTTTACAGAAAAAATATATCTTCAAATGTACAACATAAACATAAAATAAGAAAAAATACCCACTAATCATCTTCTTCTATCTCCTCATCCTCATTTTCATTGTCCTTCGTTACTTCATCTATCTCCAATGTTGTCGTTGCTTTGCCACACTCATTCATCCACTGCTGCAAGGAATCCAACTCAGCCTTCAGCTTGGTCTCCAGCTCCAACCTCATTTGAGTGAAATGGGTCTCCTTCTTGGCGGAGAATGCGGCAACACATTTGGAGATTTCCTCATCATGTGCGGTAGAGGCAGAAGTTGTAGATGCACTGATGGAGGAATGAGCGTCTTAGGCAAACCCCTGCGACCAGAGCCAAAATCTAGAAGAATACTCAAGGCTAGTTACGACCTCTAAGAGATCTTTGGTACTTCACTGGTCACTGATCATCAGCAATATATTGTTTCCCCTTATCCTTTGGGGTGGACATAATATTTTAACTCTATGTCTGAAAATTGCATCTTTATTCCTCTAGAATGAGCCTATAGAATGAGTGATCACGTGTTAAGAACCTTCGATGACAATCGAATCAGGAATTTTTTTCTTCCATGTTTTAAAGTGAATGCTTTAGACATGTTCATGTAATAAGGACATGCCAATTCCCCAATTGTGTTCCAACCAAATAGCTTCCCATAAGATGGAAAATCACTGATCGTCCACATAAGAGCAGCTCTAAGGTGAAAGTTTTGTTCGTTGCAATATCATAAGTCAACACACTAGTTTCTCACAATATATGTAGCTCATCTCTAAGAGGTTGTAAGTATACGACAATTTTACACTTTGGGATATGTAGACCTGGTATGAACAACATTAGAAATAAGAATGACACAGTTATACACATATCAATGAAAAAATTATATGGTGTGATAATAACTGACCAATTTGAATAGAATGTTATAGCATGATTATAAGGTGCAAATCCATCTGCACATAGGTCAAGCCTAATGTTGTGTGGTTTTGTTGTAAAATTAGGATAACTACAATTGAAGTGTTTCCAAGCTTCATTATCTGAAGGATGAGTCATTGTATTAGCAACAATAGATCTAGCATTACGTCATGTCATGCGAAGAGTTGTGCACATAGAAACAGACAATTATTGTTGTCGTAGAATGAGATGAAAATAAAAGAGGCATTTGTAAGGATTGTTTTTTTGAATATTTATTCTATCTCTTGTTTTGAACCTATTAGTACTGCAAAATCTACATTTTGTCTCGTGTGCATCCTCCTTGTAATATAACATACAGTCCTTAACGTGACAATCTATATTTTCATATCATAGCTCTAACTTTGACAATAACTTTTTAATTATGTACAAATCTTTTAGAACTAAATTATCTGTAGGGTTTGTCTCATTTAGTAATGTTGTCACCTGATTGAAGCATTTCTTGCAAATGTTGAAATCAGATTTGATACTCAACATTCTCAAAGCAATTGATAACTCTGTACGTGAATTGCATTCTTCCCATAAAAGCTATTCAACAACATTTAATAATTCAAAAAATTATTGTCTCTCATTGTTCGGTTCTTGATCATTATTAGACACTCCCAGCAAAATGAGCTCTGATGGCATCAGCAATCATGTCATCATACCCATTAGGCCATGAACCTTTCTAGGGGCATAACTTGATGAGGCTCCAGCATGATCATATTGAACATCTGGTACAAACTCATTATGTGCAGTCTAATACCAATATATCTAGGCACATAGCACTCAAATGGATCATTTTTTTTTATTTTGCAGCATTTACATACGTAGCACAAAATTCTTATGTATTTACATGCACACCAATTTTTATATTCATACACATAACACTCAAATATGATATAAAACCATATAATTCTTATACATTGCATATCTAAGAAAGAAATTTGAAAATAACAAACAAAAAAAATATGGAATCTTATGTAAAGCCGAAGCTTGCAGGAGTGGATGATGATTTCTCACCTTGGACGAATAATGAGCGGTGAAAACGAGCTAGAGAGGGCAATATCTAAGCCGCGACACGGAGGAGCACCAGAGGAGATGAATTTGCTAACTGGAAGAAGAATGAAGAAATGTCAGTTGTGGTTCGGGGAAGAGATATTTAAGGGCATTAGCATCGCTTGACGCCGACGCTACAACATTAACTTATCATCGTTGGCTAAACGAAACTCGTTATTGTCAAGCGTGACCGCTCGTCGCGATGCTAAACAGACGTAAATCGAATGTTAATTTTGTGTTGAATTTATGTCTAACACTAATTCTGATGCTAATTCGATATTTTTCTGTAGTGTTTGCTATTTAGCTTGTAATTTGAGTTTATTTACACTAAAGGTGAGTGCAGTGGGTAATTTGTTGGGTTGTGGTGATCACACACACACACACACACACACACACACACACACACACACACACACACACACACACACACACACACACACACACATATATTGACGGGGTTAAAGTTTTAGTATTCCAATGGAAATTAGTCGCTATGAGGAGTAGAAGATGGCTGACATGCATAGGAAGCTGTAGTTGGGTTGTTATTATGGGAGTAAGAGATGAGATTATTAATGGTATGTTGAGGTGATAGTTTTTGTTTAGGGAATGTGGACTAGTCAAAGGGGGACATGGTGGTAGATAGTTTTTTCAGTGATTTGGACATGGAGGAACAGCTCAATAATATATAAGTAGTGGAGAATTGAGTGAGTTTTATATATCTCACACCTAGAATTTAAATTTTTACATGAAGGTCCTCTTTTAATTTTGTGCATAACATTATGTGTTTCATTTTCTTAAGGGGATTTTTACATAGACGTCGCCTTTCTTCCAAAAGATATAATTCACTTTTTAAAAGTTAAAATTCTATTGTGTGAGTGAGTCTCTGCCCGGTGGGATGTTTTAAGTTTGATTTCTACTATCAACACTGGTAATTATTGAATTTATTGGGGTGATATGTTTTATTTTGTTTTTTTAGTCGCTTTCCTAGCAGAAAATATTAGATTTATTTCACACACCTACAGTCTGCCGATAAGAAGAGAGCATGTTCGTATGCACACTCTCTCTTTGTGCCCTCTCTCTATACTTATTATCTAGTCCTAGGTGCGTTAAACATACTTAAAATTTTCTCCTTTCTTACAGCTCTTATCTTATCGAATCAATCAGGGTTGTGCAATCATTTTTCCCAAAAAAATTAAATAAATGAAAAATTCACACCATTTGATTCTCGTAGATAGTCCAAGGAGGTACATATTTAAAATCTTTTGGGAAATAATGCAAATAAAATATACAAAATAAATGGTAAATGATATGATTAAATAGCTTAGGAGAGTCAACCAAAAATGCTATATATATATATAGGGGGAGGCACTTCTCACCTCTAAATTTTAATATCATATTATATACTAAAAATTTAGCCCCTATAAAATTAAATGCATAAAAATAATCATATTAACTATTATTTTTAATTTTATAATTATATTTATTATTATATGAAAGAAATTCACCTTTGTAGTTTAAGTTGTTACAATAAACCTATTGAACTCGACCAAGCTCCTTTTGGCTAGACCAACTCCAATCAGCCCGGTGAGGTCAATTCTTCAGACCAGCTCAATGCGGCCTAGCCAATTCGAGTCGCCCAGCCAGCTCTAGTTGGCTTGTCCAATTCCAATCGTCGGGCCAGCTCGATTCAGTCCGGCCAGCTCCAGCAGTCCTAATCAACCAGCTCCAATCGACCATCTCCAACGGGTTGCATAGGATAAAGAGAACAATTGTCGTTTTATAATATTTTTTTTCCTACAAATGGATGAGCATTGCTTGTAGTATGGGAGATGGAAACCTAGTATGAAAATACTTTATTATCATAAATTTCTTATTCTCTCCCCTTTTATTTATGCACTATTTCTTGAGTATGATTCACAAATAAATTCAAATTTAACTGTTACCATTTTAAATTTTATGGGGAAAGTCTTAAAATTTAAATATTTTTTTCTATGTAATTTTTAATTTCAACGCCCCTCTTTTTTAAGTTTTGATTCAGTCACCACCAGTCCCCCAATTATATCTAATTTGATGAAAGGTAGAAAAACAATCAAAGATTTGGGAACTATAACGGTGAAAAATCATATATATAGCGCGCATATATATATATATATATCCAACATACTTCAATACTACAAATATATGAATCAAATATTTTAATATTAAACAAATTATTAGTAAAGCAAATCTTAAAGGTTACATATTAGATATTATTAATTTATTGCTCCTGCAACAATTGGTATAAAATTTTGATATATTTATGCCCAAATTTGAAACATATTAGTTGGGAAAAGCCCAATTCAATTGCTCATTTTGTTGATAAAAAATAAATGTTGGGATATAATTTTATGTATTTACATCCAAACCTTCATGTTTATATTATCACTCAAATCTTTATTGTCGTATAAAAATATCACTATATATATGTCTGACCGTTGAATTGTTCAGCTGTCGAATTACTGAATTACTGAACCGAGTAATTATCCAGTTGCAAAATTGGCTGGCTACTCTGGCTCCAAATAGATTTCACCTCTGTTGGTCCACCTCCTCCATATCTTCTTCCAGTCACTCTCTTCCCTTACCCTTCGAGGTCTGTCGATATGGCGTGAAAACCAAGCGGCTCCCTAATTGCATTAAAAAAAGCAATTTAGTCTCTTTCCCCACCAGCCACTCATTCTGCACCCCCAACAACTCTGCTACTATTTATACATCTCCTTCATCCTCTTCCCTCCACCACAAAAGACCTCGCTTTTCTCCTCACTCTCACTTTTTGCATTCCATTGCAGCTTTTACACTGAAGAGCAACCAAGAAATGGCCGGAGGTCTCCTCCGGTGGCCGGTGGTTCTCTGTCTCCTTAACACTCTCATCATTTCACCCGTGCGGTCCACAGTATGGACGGCGGGATCTGCGGCGATGACGCAGGGGACGGCTGTCGTCGTCGGCGCGGCCGCTGTTTCGTCCACCGACGAACACTTTGTCTGCGCCACTCTCGACTGGTGGCCGCCGGAAAAGTGCGATTACGGCACCTGCGCTTGGGGCCTTGCCTCGCTTCTCAATCTCGTGTGTTTCTGCCTTCATTTCACTCATGTGACTTTTATTAAAAAAAATTATTATTAATTTATGATTATTGAAGAGCAGAGGTTGGGGAGTTGCTTTGCATTTATGACATTTATTTTTAAAAAAAATTAATTTTAGTTTATTTATTTATTTATTTATTTATTTATTTATTGTGGTTATTGGTATTGGTGGAGTGTGCGGTGCAGGAGCAGCGTTGGGCATCTTTTAGTTTTTTTTTTTCCTTAAGAAGTTTTTGCTTCCAAAGAAAGTAACTTGCCAATGCAGCAAGTTCTTATTTATGTTGGTGGAGTGAATTAATTGTGGGCTAGTTAGTTGAGAAAGTATTGAGGATAGATGTGGCTTTGGAATCTGATGAACTTTACTTTTGCGAAATGATTTTGATATTTGGTTATATTTTCATAATTGGCTTCTGAATTTGATTTCTGATGGCTGCTGACTTTGATTTCTGGATAACAAGTAGATTGACACAATTATATTTATCATTTGCTTGATGCAGAACCTTTCCAGCCACATTCTTCTGAACGCCATCAAAGGTACGAAGCTTCCTGCTCTTTTCTCTCATTCTTCGAATAAAAAATTTAAACTTTTTGCTTTTTTGGTTCAGCTTTTTCTCCATTAAAGATTCGTTTAGGAGGTTCTTTGCAAGATAAGGTCATATATGAAACAGAATATCCTCAGGAACCATGCAGACCATTTGTTAAGAACAGTTCTGAGATGTTTGGGTTCACTGAAGGCTGCTTACCCTTGTCAAGATGGGATCAGCTGAATGAATTTTTCAGAGAATCGGGGTATTCTATAAAGTCCTATTCATGAACTTTCATCATGCATCTTAGTCGCATCAAGTGTAACAACTATGGTCTTATTTGTCTCAAATTTTGTATATCTTAGGGCGACGATCATCTTTGGACTGAATGCACTCAATGGAAGGGTTCCATTGTCAGATGGCTCTCTCGGTGGCCCATGGGACTACACCAACGCTGCTAGTTTGATCCGTTATACTGTAAATAAGGGCTACAGAATATCCGGCTGGGAGCTTGGTAAGATTTGTACTGGTAACTGGCGGTAGGTTTTTTTTTTTTTTTTTTCTGGCGGTTAGATTTCATTAGCTTTCCACACAATGCGGCAATGAGAGAAAAACAATGTGTTTAAACAAAAGTTTGATCTTTTACTGGACAGGGAACGAGCTGAGTGGCAGTGGAGTTGGAGCTCGAATCAATGCTGATCAATATGCAGAAGACTTGATGAATCTTGATCGTGTCGTCGATCAAACCTATAAAGGTTACCAATTCAAACCCCTGGTGATTGGTCCTGGGGGTTTCTTTGATGCCAATTGGTTTAATGAGTTCATTGTCAAGGCAAAATCTTCATTAGATGTAATCAGCCACCACATATATAACCTTGGACCAGGTATGTTGGAGAAGTTACAGATGAGATGATTCATAATTAATGGTTATCACTGAGAAAACTTTAGCTTCATAGACTCTTACTTAGTGCACAGGTGTCGACCAGAATTTGGTAGAGAAGATTCTTAACCCTTCGTACCTGGATGGCGAGGCATCAACATTCAGCAATCTCAGAGACATTCTGAAGAGCACCGGTGCTTCTACGTCAGCCTGGGTTGGTGAAGCTGGTGGAGCTTACAACAGTGGCCGACATCTTGTCACCAACGCATTTGTTTTTAGTTTCTGGTAGGCTTCCTCCCTGTGTTTTCGTAACTCCAAAGTTCACACCTGCTTCAAGTCGGGAAAGCTGTTAAATTTCTGCTTAAAACAGGTATTTGGATCAGCTTGGAATGTCATCATTGTATGACACCAAGACTTATTGCAGACAGAGCTTGATTGGTGGAAATTATGGCCTTCTGAACACCACCACGTTTAAACCAAACCCAGATTACTACAGGTAATAGGTTCTCTCTCTATCTCTCTCTCTCTCTCTCTCTCTCTCTCAAGTCTCAATGGTCAAGTTTATTAACTTGCAGAAAGAGGAGTATTCTGTAATGATCATGGCTTAATCGTGTATGCTTTGGCATTCAATTTGGTGCAGTGCTCTCTTGTGGCATCGATTGATGGGACCGAAAGTCCTATCGACTAAATTCAATGGGACAAAGATGATAAGAGCATATGCACACTGTGCGAGAGATTCTGTAAGCTAAACATATTCTAATCCAAGTAACCTTCTTTCTCTTAAAGACTAATCTGATCTTCTCCAATCTCAATGCAGAAAGGGATAACTCTCCTCTTACTGAACCTTGACCGCAATTCAACAGCCCAAGTGGTTGTTGATCCCGGGACTGCTCAACTTAGTGCCGTGAAATATCACAGAGGTGGAGTTAAAGAAATTAAAATGGGAGAAGAGATCACCAGGGAAGAGTACCATTTGACCGCCATGGATGGGAACTTGCACAGCCAAACCGTGCTGCTTAATGGAAAGATACTGGACCTGGATGCTCAAGGAGGCATTCCAGTGCTAGAATCCGTCAAAGTTGATGCCTTGCAGCCAATAAATGTTGCGGCTTTATCCATTGTTTTTGCTCACATGCCCTCCTTTTATGCCCCCGCATGCGTTTAATCCATTGTTTGCGTGCATTTGATTTGTATTTTTTTTGTTTTTGATTTAACAAGAATGGATTACGAAGTAGTTCATTCTTTTCTTTGCCGTGGGTTAAAAACATGGCTTTTGTTTTTCTTTCTTGTAATCTCAGCCAAATAATGGATCATTATTAATAAACGAATGAAGGGAATGATTTCTTGCTTCCCAATCAACTAAACAAAAGATTTAACATTTGTCCGGCATCTGTTCATTATCATAATAGCAACTTTGAATGTAGCCAACACATGATAATCTCATGTTAGATCAATTTGGTAAGCATTATCATTGATGCGCTTTATTATTTGAAAAGGTTTGTCATCCTTGGCTTTGAGTTCAAAACCAAATCACCTCCTTGACAGAAGACAAACTTCCTATTCTCGTTGGATATTTGGATACAGCCGAACCACCTCACAAAAATATAGATTAGCTATATGCTTTCGCATCCAAGGTCTTTTTACAAGTATAAAATGGCCCATTTTCGAAAACTAATTGACTACCATCATAATAGCCTTTTGTGTTTGGATGATTGATGAGAATAATCTTTTATTTCTACTAGGGCTTCAATTCAATTAGAATCAAAATCATATCGTGGAATTGGATCACACTGATTCAAGAAAATTGGAACAAAAAATTCTAACGGAAGTACAACAAAAACAATTTAGGAAAAACTAGGATTTAACATAGAAAAACTCGAAAATGGGAAAAAATCTACCGAGTCACACCACCAAGAAATTTTGAATATGAATTCTTGAAATGCACAAAATACTCACTCAGATCTTCTCTCTACAATGAATGGAACTTTTAGGACTTCACTCCAAATCCTGCTCTTCGACCCTTATTCTCCTCACGGAAACCTTGTCAAGGAAATGCACGTGCAGAGATACTATATGTTGTCGTCTGAAATTGCGAATATAAGGAAACAAAACTGAGGAACCGTAACTGGCGCACCAGCGCTACTCCTTGCGTGGTTATTTTGTACGCTCTGTAATCGAGCATTTAGGAGTGTGGTGAAGCCTCTCTTTTATATGGATGTTATAATTCCTACGAGAGTGGTCCAAGCCATTTTTTTTATTTTTTTAATCTCCTCTTTTGTTGAAGTATGAGAGTGTCGTCATTTGTGATATGTATTTGAAGTGGTCCAAGCTCTTTCATCTTGAATGACCATATTTGAAGTGAGCCATGTATTTGAAGTTGCTATCAGATCTTTATCGATGCTATGTAATTTGAAGTAGTTTTTATACTCAAGATTTCAAGCTATGCATTTGTGATAGATAATGTATTGAAGAAATTATAATAAAAAGTATTTTAAATGCACCAGTCCAATATTTCTTTCTTTTTTTAATTGTTATCAAAGTTGACATTTGAATGAAAATGAACTCGCATACATTTGTTACACTATGTGGATTGCTTTGTGTTTGTGTGAGGTATTACTTGGCGAGCTCATCATGTAGTCGAAATTGCTACTCAGTAATATAAGCGTGTGTTGGCGAGTTCTCTAAATGTTTTCCAAAATTATTTTAAGATCATGGTCATCTTCAATTAATTCTCCAGGAATAAGAATAATAACATATATATAAATGGTATCATTGTATTAAAAATAAGTTCAAATGTTAGCGAGTTCAGTCAAAATTTCTTCTTGATAGTATTTTTTATATTGCTCTTTAAGGATAGATAGTGTAAAAGATTTTGTTAGGTTATGATTATCATTTTCCTTTGAGGCTTCTAGCTCTCCTACAAGCCATTTTCTTTGGGGCTTCTTAATCTTCTCTCTTAAGGTTTTGTACTTGGAGTTTTCACATTTCCTCTAGGAGCAGTCATTTTACATTTAAGCTTAGCACCTTCTATTCCATCATTATCTTAATAAAGTGTGGAAGATAAAACTTTCTTGAGGAAAACTATAATGTAAATTACTCGTCATAATGGTATTAAGTACAAAATTGTTGTCATATGATCAAACTTGCTTGGGCGAGTTCCCTAAGCATGAAAGGTAATTTAATGATAAAATGCATAATAAAGGGTAAAATCTAGGTTCTATGTTGTTCATTCTCGTTGTAAGTTTCTAGCTTATTTGCCCAGAGTCTGACTCACTCTTGAATGACGTAAGGCCCAGCCTAGGTTTGATCCAGTTTTCTTACCGCTTGAGTACTCATTGCAAGATCTGTTTCCTTCAGTACCTAGTCATTAGGCTTGAAACTTTTCTCTTTTATGTGTGAGTGATAATAATTAGCTACTTTCCTTTAGGTATACTCTTGTTTCATAACTGACTGAACTAACAACTCTTCCGACAAATCCAACAAGCTTTGAAGAACTTTGTCACTAGCACCCAGACATTTTTCAAGCTTGATCTCATCATAATTCAATGTAAGAGAGAAGTTGAAAAGTGTTTGCTTATCACATTTGATGAGGTTATTATTAATGTCTCTCTTATTACTATCATCATGTGCTCCTTCAGTTTTTTAATTTGTTGTCATAAATTCACTAGTGCCCATGTTCCTAATGTTGTTTCTTTGGTTAGGCTCTACTCATTATGTGATTCTTCATTTTTTTATCATTATGTAGTCCTTGCAAGATGTTGAATCTTAATTTATCTTTGAATCCAATCACAAAAAAAAAATTGTTGAAATAATAAACGCTTTACACGTAGAAACAAGAGAAGAAAAAAAATGAAAAGAAATATGGTTTTTTAATATAAGGGGGAATTCTCTCACATTACAATAGTCACATATATTTATAGAGTAGTTAGTTTATATTGTACAAATCAAGTACTAATTACAATTTACACTCAAGTTTAGAGAAATCCTTGATTTATCTCTAATCTTCTTTTGTATATTTAATCATGCGTAAATAATTATTCTTTAAAAATATATTTCCTCAAAACGTAGCTTATTGGTGATGCCTCTATTAGTCAACTCAACCATAGGGTGAGTTGATCACCATCGGTAAATAGGTTTCCTGAAGTGTCTTGCTTGTTGAGTTATCAAGCTGCTTTAATCTGAGCGAAAGTTTGAGTATAGATCATAGCATGTGAGCTATTGGTCATAACTCACTAGTTGACTTGATTGATGAGTTGAAGTATTTTGGTCGAATTTTCTAATTGGTTATTTAAGATATCTCCCTTGATATCTTTTACTCAATATGAACCCAATCAATAAAATTTAAAATAAAATTTCAATAAAATTATTAAAAAAATATAAAATTATAAAATAAATACATAATTTTAAAATAAATTTAACAGGCATTCATATATCCATTTTTTTCCTCTTAAAATCCCAATACGACAGTTTAGGGCCCGTTTGGGGCAGCTTATTAGAAGCGGCGGCGTTTTTAATACGTCGCCTCCCTGTTTGTTTAAAGTGTTCGCACCTACGTAACGATCCCGCACTGCGTCCTCGTTTGTTAATTCTTTTATGTCATTCGACGATGTCCGAGCCCCACATCCGGCGTTACCCATCCGCGTTGCCCTAGGAATTCCGGAGGTGCCCTCGATCTCCCTTGTCTTCTCCCTCGCTGGTTTTAGGGTTCTGGTTCGTCGCCCTAGAGGAGATCGAACCTTCTTCCTTTCCATTTTCTTTCCTGATCATCAGGTATCCTTTCGATTACCCCAGATGCGAGCCTTAGAATGCTTTCTTTGCTTTGATCTTCCTTCTGAGCAAGTGTTGATGCAGGAAATAAAAATTTTTATTTTTTTCAAGGGAAATATGATGACATTTAAGGTTTTTAGGTATTGCCCAATTTAAATCTATAGCATGAGTTTTTTTTTCGAATTTTTTGGCTTATGGCATTTTCGCTGGTTTTTGAGTGTTAGGCCTGTTGAGAAATGTTTCATTTTCTGTACCTTGATATTTTGCCATTTTAACTGGTTGTTGGATTTGGGTTGCTAGCAGCGATCTTGGAAACATGAGTCTGGTTTTGGGCATTTGTTTTGTGGCATGATATTGTATCGTTTTTTCTTGTTATGGCTCTGTTTGTTTGATGAGAGGTTTCTAGCTTTTTAGCTGTTGAAATACGAGTCCATGAAAGCATATTGGTGAAGTTATATATATGTTTAGCTGCTGATTGTGCGGTGGAAATTTTGCAGGAATTTTTGTTACTTTTATCTTGCGTTTTATGAGAGGAATTTCTATTATGCATATGAGAGGAGTCAATACTTTTATCTTGCATTATATGTTAAGAATGATAATGGTTATAGGCTTTACGGTTCATATGCATATGCTTAGACAAGAAAATGCAAGGTTTGTTTTTATATGAGGCAATGGTTATATCATTGGGGATTTCTAATTGATTATAAGCCCCTGTAAAGTTGGAGATTTCCTATTGCAATACTCTATTATGGAGATGGAGGTTTATTCAGGTCCACTCTAGGATATTAATGTCAAATTCTTTTCCCAACAGCAACCTAATGCATACTGTAACTTCTATTTAGCTTGGCAATTAAATTTGGCATCCATTGGTACTATATGTTTTCATTACAATGAAAATACATTTGAGAGGATTCATCTACTTTATTTATTAGTTGGGTTAAACTTCAAAATAGTCCACAAATATATGTTTGTAGCTGAATTACTTTCTAAGTATTGCATTTCTTCACTGATGACATATATAAGGATCGAAATTACCTGCATTTGGTTTAGGGTTCATATGCATATGCGATTTTTTGTTTTTTTCTTCAATTACAGGGATCCAAATTACTTTCTTTTGGTTTTCTGCAATTGAATTTTGTGGGATCAATTATAACCTTGAACAATTATAACCTTGATGGCTGTGTTGGTTCTTATCAAACTTGTATTGGTTCTTCTTCTTCGAGTTTCAATGGTTGGGAGCTGTATTGGTTCTTCTGCCTGCTTTATGGATTTTCCGTATTGTTTAGATGCAAACTGACAATGGATTTATGGGCTCTTTAGCAAATATGAAAGTAGAGAATGGATTTATGCAAACTAAGCTGTATTTTTATATTTTTGAAAATAGAGAATGGATTTTTCTTCAATTACAGGGTAGGAGAATTACAAGTTGTATTTGTGTCCCTTAAGATTTATAGTTATGTAACTGTATACAATTACATAATAAAATATTTTTGATGTCTTACTATGGATGTAGGTCATTGACCGAACCACATAATCATTTGTGTCTTTATATATTTATATTTTTTTGAGCAAATAGCTAGACTGTTGTTTGTATTGGTGGCTAGTGTTGTTGTTTGAAGACTGTTGTTGTTGTTGGGTTGATGTTGTTGTTGGCTAGTGTTGTTGTTGGCTTGAGATTCATAATTATGATCACTGTGAATGTGTTGGTGTTATTATTTCTTCAATAATTCTATTGAGATTCAAAATTAAAAACTTTTTTATTCTCATTTGTTGCCTATAGTTTCATCATGTCTAAAGAAGGGGGCTCGTCCACAATATGAGATAAAGAAGTAACAAATAACTTTTATGATCTGTGTATGAAAGAAATAGAACTAGGGAACAGACCAACAACATTTTTTAATAAGGAAGGGTGGAAAAACATTACTAAGAGATTCAAAGAATTGACTGGCAGAGATTAAGTTAGGCTTAAATTTAAAAAAAAAATCGGACAAATTGAAGGAGTGGAAAATATGAAAGGAGTTGAAACGTGGATCTATCGGTTTAGGTTGGGATCCGATTAAAAGGACAATTGATGCTCCAGTTGAATAGTGGGCTAAAAAATTAGAGGTAATTCTCTATTTAATCCATAGATTGTTAGCTTCCCAAATATTTTTCCTTAATTATAATTTTCTAACTATTCCCTCTAAATGATATATCACAGGTGGTACCGGCAACGAAGAAGTATAAACAGTGAGGAATTGAGCCGAAATTTGAAGAAAAACTGGACGTAATGTTTAAATGGGTTGTCGCAACGGGAAAGTTTGTATTTAACCCTAGTGAATCCGGTTTTACAGGGATACCAGATGAAATCACACCTAAGCCATTGGCACCCAATGAAAAAGTGTCTAGCATTAACCAGAGGGATATGGGGGAGTCCAGTATAGTTTTAAAGAGGCCCAGGATTGCTAAGAAAAATAAAGAGAATGAACATTTTGTAAACACCTCCTTTGATCGTTTAATTGAAGCTTTTGCACCTCCACCAATCTCTGATGCTAACATATTAGACTGTCTCGGGATTTTGGGTACTATTTCTTAAGTTGTGGCCGACAGGCAATTTCACACACAGTGTGTAAAAAAACTTGAGGATTCGACTCGAATGAAAATATTCATGGCGCTAGAGCCTGAATTGCGTCTCGAATATTTGTGGGTTTTGGTCGATGAATGATATTTTTTTATGGATTGTATATGTATTGACTGCAGTAATATGAACTTCTACTTATGTCGTTTTTTATTTTTATGTTTGGAACTTCTAATCATGTACTCTTTTTTTTAATATGTTTGAACATTCTATGTATTTGGTCTTTTATTTTTAAATGTACAGGTTAGTGGTTGAAGTTTTATTTATAAGTTGCGTATTATATGTTCTGAACGTCAACAATTTATATTTGAAGTTTAATTGATTGGTAGTGTTGTAAGCATTTCTTATTATGCACTCATATTGTTTACATTTTAAATCATTTAGGATGGATCTGCGGCGTGATCGTCGTAGGAGAATGGCATTTGCTACAGCCATTGCGATATTGTTGTTGGATTATTAACGGAATAGCACTGCTTGCATTCCCCGCATGACATCCAGTTTTGTTGAAGATAAATAGGTTGGTGAAATGTTTTCTGACCATTCAATAAGGTTCAGAAATATTGTTAAAACGACAACACCTATTTTTATGGATCTTCTGCATGAGTTATGTCTAAATCACGGTCTCCGGGGTTCTTCTAGGACGACGTGTAGGGCGGTGTAGGCTATAACACTG